GGATCAGCCCCTTGCGAAGAAAGTCAAGACCAATCATCGTTCCTCGGGGTCGGTGAGTTCCGTGTCTAATGCACCCAACTTGCCCTCTGATGCGCGCAAGCGGGCAGCACCCTCAATGAGCCCGACCAAGACATCAGGGCCTTCCATTCCTTTGTATTCGCACGAGTTTCTTCATCTTTACGACCAGGGGAAAGATTATGCCAACATAGACAGCAACCTGTTTGTCAATCTGCACCTGGCGGCGGACTTTGCTGCCTGGGTCACGGAGCCGGATGCTGTTGCCCGTATTGCGAATGGGCGCTCTCCAAAAGAGATCTTCACGTGGTCTGGTGCAACGCTCGACAAATCACGCTGGCCGACATTGTCTACCGAAACGATCACGGACTCGAGCATTGAGGTGGAAGGTCAACATCCAACTTGGAAAATCCTCAAGACTCGCGATCGTGTGGGCAAAGACGAGATTGTCGGTGAAATCACGGGCAAGCTTGGTTTCTTACGGGACTATTGTCTTGACCCCAGTAATCGATGGCAAGAGCTTCGTCATCCTGAGCCCTTTGTCTTTTTCCACCCTCAGCTCCCGATTTACATCGATAGTCGACATGAGGGAAGCGTGCTCCGCTACGTGCGGCGCTCATGCCGGCCGAACGTGACCATGAAAACCTACATCACGAATCAGGTCGAGTACCACTTCTGCTTCGTTGCGAAGGAAGAGATCGCTGCGGACTCGGAAATCACGGCCATGTGGTACCTAGATCCTCAACTCTTTGAGTCCACCAATGGTATAGTCAAGCAGGAGGCCACTGACAGCGCGCACGACGCGCCTGCGATCTGCATCAGTAATGTCCTCGCCCACTTTGGTGGATGCGCCTGTGTCCCTCCCGCGAACTGTTTGCTGTCTAGCGTTGATCGACGACGTCACCCAAAGTTGATGGATGTGAACGCGAAACAAGCGAGTGCTAAGCGAAAGAAGACAAAGCCCAAGGCGAATATCTCTCCGCCTGCCACCACAAGCCGGGCGGGTAGTGAGACCACTAAGAACCTTGATGAGGATGATCAGGCTGACAGCCGTTCTGCATCGGGCTCTATCCGAGGTCAAACTCGCAGTCGGGATCTCACCCCTACGTTACAGACTCCTACCGAAGCGTTCTTGCTCGGGGAATCGGAACTCTCGGCTCGAGACAAGCGTAAGATTGCTGCAGCAGAGAAGAAGTTTCAACAACTGGAACAAGACCAAGCCTCACACAGAAAGAAGAAACGGGCTAGTGGCCAATCCAGCCATGGTCCGCGCGAACGCCAGTCACATTCTCCCCCCTCGGGCGGACCTGTGGGCTCGCTTCCAGGAATGCGTCACGGATCACCGCGCAAGACATCCGGCAGTCACAGCACACCTAGGCGGTCTCCTCTGGGGCGTCAACAATACGTGGATTCCGCTATACAGACCGAGCCGGATGCTAGCGATGGTGTGGTTTCACCTTCTCTGCCCTCCCCTCGTCGACCCTGTTTTGTGCCCCTAACTCAACGTTTACTGAAAAGATGCTATTCCGATCGCATCAAGCTCGAGCAAAGCAGCCCATCGCCTGTCACTCCTCGAAGTACTCTTCTTGAGCATTCTGACTCTTCACCGACTTCCACGAGCCCGCATGAAGCAGCTCCACTAACAGCCACAACCCCCAGCGTATCTGCCGACAACCAAGATACAGAGATGAGGGATGTTGATCCGCCTGTGGAGACCTCGCCATCCCTGTCCGTTACACATTTCGATGCATCTCCCCTATCTGGACGGGGATCGGTCAAGCCGCCCTTGCCGCCTCCCTGGCCATCAACTGCAGCGCATAACGCTCGGATACCTAGTAATGTTGTGCATAAACAGCGTAACACTGATCTCCGCGTTCCGCTGCCTCCTGCAACGCTACCTCCGCCCCCTTCAGCCACCAGCCCAGGGTCCACAGCCCCGTCGGTGTTGTCCTCACCTTCAACTGCAACTGATGTGACTTCGCAACCCCACGTTCCCACCACACCGGTGTCTGGAGTGGCAGGCCCTAGCCCAGTGAAAAAGAAGCTCAGTTTGGGTGACTATCTCATCCGCCGCGGCACCATGACTACGCCTACGTCTGAGAAGACTCAAGCGCAGGCAACCGCAATGCTACCGCCCACACAACCCGTGCCGCCTCCGGCTAGCCGTGATGGAGCTGCTGCGGGGCACAACTCTTCTGCGGAGGCCAAGCCAGAACGGGGCCCTCAGGATGTCACCATGAAGGATATTCGCGGAGCTACGCAGACTTCACACATACCCTCAGCGACGTGATGATCTGATGCTATCTCATGTGGACTACTACCCTCAAAGCTGGGGGTTGCACAATATAATACGCGTTGATTACTTTCTTTGTGGAACAATTTCTGCGAATTTGTTCTTTACTTCATTCCCCTTTTCTTTCTTTTGCTTCAACTTGTACACGATGGGAATTGACAGGCGTTTCAGCCGGCGGAGCGGTTTTGATTTGACCGGCGTATTCGGCGTGTTGGAAATGGAGCGGGTTCAGGGAAATACTCCGGATGGCTTATGGGCATGGGAAATGGTTTTTAGGAGGACCTTGACGGGTCATGATGTGAGCACCTGCTTCACGATTGTCATTATTACTGCCAGAACTTTATTTTCTTTCTTTCTTTTCCCTTTCCATTCCGTTCTCCTCTTCTATTACTAGGATATTTGTGACATGACTTTCCAAGCACCGGAGCTGACGGGCTCTACGGAGTGGATCATGACGAATGAAATTTTTCTTGAATGTTAATCGATGGCACCGATTCCGTAGTTGAAGGCGTCGATACAGCTCTGAAGTCAAGGTAGGGCACGCATCGCTGGGCTAAATCCGAGTCATCTTGGGTGACGTCAGTCAAGGTCCCATTGTTGCTCTACATAAGCTTTGGGAGGCTTTGGAGAAACCGGGTTCTGGATATGAAGGAAGGGAGAGCCCAGAAACCGACTCGGGAGTGGTTAAGTGCTCCCGAACATGCAGGCAGGGACTTACTTCTTGGCCGATCAGACTCTCCACTCCCATGAAATAATACCCCTGGCTAATGACTACTTCGCCTGAGTTCTTTCCTTTTCGAAACAAGACTTCATGCGACAACTCTTTCATCATGGCGAAGACTCGATGTGCGGGCCGGCAGGCGGATAAGAAATTACCAGGGAGGCGCGTCTTGGGCCTCGAGACTTTTCCCGCTTGCGCCCCCCACCGAAGAGTCGAGCCTATTGTCTAGACCTTGTCTACTCGGTATACCAGGGCCGGCAAAGCTGCAGGAGTCGTGTTCAGCGATGTCTCGGCCGTTCCTGGACCAGTGATTAATGAGTCTCGTGGTGCCACCGCGACATCTCTATCACAATGTGCCGCGTGGGAGAATGCTCTCGTCATTATTGGGTCCTTTGTCCCATGGGGATATGGTAGGGAGGAATAGCTCTAAGCCGCTCCAATAGACTGATGCTCAACATCAAGATCATGTCTCTCTTAACTTGAGTAAAACAGAGGTGCGGCTGAGTATTTGTCCGTCAAAGATGCTGACAGTGATAAGCTAATTATTTCAGTAAACGAGTTAGCAAGGCTGAGAGATGCCGGTTGTCATATTAGCTCGGGATACCGGGAAGTATGCACACCCTACATACTAATGATCTATTATTGTTGTTATGAGTCTGGATTGGGTGTTCAGACAAGCTCATCTAGACGCTATCCGGCTCCACCGGCCCACTGCGAATGACGAGGTCGGCTCGTTGGTTGCCTGATATCATTCCATTCCCATCGGATGACATCAAGACAAGGTTGACTGTCGGCTTTCGGGTTTGCCGAACCTGACAGCCAAGTACTACTCCTATAATAATTCTGAAAGAAGTATATATTCTTGTACTGATGCCCGGGATGGTTCCTGGTTGATTCAGACAATTCTACAATCACTATTTCTTCCATATAAAGCATTCCGTTCCGCTTCTCGATCTAAATTTAGCACATATACATCATGGTCGTTAACATCACCGCCGAAGATCCTCAACCCACCATCCACAGCCACATCAATGGCACTACCGAAGAGATTCTGGATCGGCTCTGTGTCACCGAGCTTCTAAAGGGATGGCCGGTGTACCGGGATGCCTCTGAATGGGCCCACTACCGGAATTGTTTCGCCGAACAGGCTTATATCTTTACTAGTAAGTCCATCATATTTCGCCTCTTTGTCTCCTTTACTCTCTTAGACCTCCCCTCGAAAACATCGTACTGACATGGTTTGCTCAATCTGCAGCATGGAGCGGAGGCATGCCCATCGACGAATTCATCGAAGTCTCTAAAAAGGGCCGTCGAAATGGCGACCACATCATGCACCGCGAAAACGGCACCCTCGTCGAGCTGAACTCCAAGACCGGCCGTGCTGTAGGTAAAATGAAGGCAACCATCACCCAGCGTTTCTCGTTCGATGGCGTCGAATTCGACGTCGAATGCGACTGCCGCTTTATCATGTGGTGCCAGAAGGATCCGGCCGGGTGGAAGGTTCACTACAAGCGCTTGTTCTACGAGAAGGATAAGATCATGCCGGTGGATGGCAAGCATGTGCCTGACTACTCGGAGGAGGAGCTCAAGCCGTATCCGTATGGATACAGGTATTTGGGTGCCTCTCAGGCGAGACTGGGGCATAAGATCAAGTTGGATTTGCCGACTATGGAGGACAATGATAAGTTCCGGGGGATGTATGAGGCTATGGAGAAGTGGTTGAGGGGGGAGGATATTAAGGAGACGTTGGGGATTCCTGTATAAATTCATTGGGACGATGGGAAGGTTCTCTTGTATATAATTTATTGATATGAGGGCAATCATTATGATGATCGTTACGATTATGAAGACTATATATGATTCGTCCATGTTGAGGGTTGAGAGATTGCGGGGTAGTCATACTCGGGCATCTTTCTTCTATCTCTCTTCGACCCCTTTCGCCGTGCCCATCGACATTAGCGAGTCTCAAACATGGCAGCCCATGAGTTGGCCGAGTTAAGGTCTGGAAGCCCCTCATCATCTCATCTACCCATCGAAGAGTCCAACAGCTCCGCCCGCCCTGAACTTGAGCAAGTCCCGCTGCCACCGGTGGACCAGGGCAAAGGTGCCTGGTTGGTTCTCGCTTCGTGCTGCTTAATTCAGTTGCCAGTTTGGGGTACGCATCGATATACCCAGCTGTAGTCATATGTCTGCTCATGCGCAACATCCAGGGTTCTCTCTCGTTGCCGGCATCTTTCAGGAATACTTTGAGACGCATAATGACCTCGATGGAGGTAAAGGAGGTCTGGCCATCATGGGGACTACAGCAACGGTGATATCGCCTGTTATTACCATTATGTTCACCTTCCATTTGGCTGACATTGTTCTCTTACAGGGAATCCTCTACCTCCTGTCACCTGTGACGTTCACGCTCTTGACCCGCTACCCACATCTCCCAAAGTCCTGTGCGTTTGTCGGACTGGCTCTCAGTGTCGGCGGCTCGCTGCTCTCTTCTTTCGCCACAACTGTCTGGCAGATGATTGTGACGCAAGGTGTTATCTGTGGCCTTGGGAATGGCCTCGTCTTCAGCCCGACCACGCTCTATCTAGATCAGTGGTTCGTTCGTCGCAAAGGTCTTGCATATGGAATCATGTGGGCTGGTAAGAGTATCTGCGGTGTAGCTCTGCCATTCGCGACAAGTGCCTGTCTTGACCGATTTGGAGCGAGGACAACTCTAAGGGCTTGGACGGTAGTCACGGTTAGTCGTCTGCTTAGCCCACTAATCTTCAGAAAACTGACTAGGCATCGTAGCTGCTCACTCTCGCTGTGACCCTTCCTTTCATTAGGCCACGAATCCCCCCAGCCCCCTCTACCACTCCGCAGCCTCTGAACCTCGCTTTCTTGAAACTGGTCACGTTCTGGATGCTCCAGCTCGGGAACATCATCCAGAGCTTCGGCTATTTCTTGCCCAGCACGTATCTACCGTCGTACACAACAACCGCAGCTGGCCTGTCAGAAACCACAGGGACTCTCCTAGTGGCACTCTTCAACGCCACATCTATTGTAGGTGGAATCGTCCTGGGGTCTCTTTGTGATCGCTTCGCCGTCAGCAATATCATGTTGCTCTCCTCCGTAGGCTCTGGGGTGTCTGTCCTGCTGTTCTGGGGCCTGTCAACTTCATCCCCGTCTGCAAGCTTTCCCCAGGCCGCCATCGCCCTTCTAGTTCTTTTCTCGATCACGTACGGCTTCTTTGCCGGAGGTTTCAGTTCCACTTGGTCGGGTGTACTCACTCAAGTCAAGCGCGAGGTTCCCTCGCTGGAGACCGGATTAGTGTTCGGACTACTAGCTGGTGGAAGAGGCATTGGTAGCGTTATTAGTGGTCCGCTGAGCTCGGCTCTCATGCAGCAGGGTTCCATCACCGGGCAAGAAAACGGCGAGATCGGGTATACCACTGACTATGGGGCGTTGATTCTATTCACTGGCGTGACAGCTATCTTTGGAGGATGGAGCTGGATGTGGCATCACCGACAACTCTGCCTGTGTTAATAACATCATTCACTAAGCAATAGCATTTATCTGACTCAATAAATGATCTCCTCTTTTGAAGATTTTCGACCGTCCGCGCATCTAAACATGTACAGGGCGGATGAGATCACGTGCACTCCGCAGTTCCTGCGCATCTCGAAAGCTACGAGTAACACCTCCCCCAACCTCATCCATTGCTCAATCTCCAGCATACAATTTCAAACTCCCGGAGCGGTAGCATCACCTACCAGTCCTCCACATTCACATTCACACACGCCATCATGGCCACCGATCCCTCCCTGCAAGATCCTCTCCTCTCGCTCCGTCGCGCCATCGCAGCCGGCAACCTCCCCACGCCAACAACCTCCAGCGACCTCTCCGACCAAAATGCGACCGACGACCTTGCAAAAGCCACCCATCTCTACTTCCAACATCCCCTCCCTCAAACAATCCCCCTCACAACACCCACCCGCTTCGTCTCCAGCTCCTCCGACTCCGCCGTCGACCTCCGCAGTATCTTCTTCGCGTGGCAGAAGAAAGATGTCGCCATTCCAGAGTACATTGCCTCGGCGCAGGAGCTTAACGAGTCGCTGAAGCAAAAGGAGCGCAAGGAAGGCGAGGAAGAGGAGAAAGTTCAGAACTTGGTTTTCGTCGAGCGCTTGGATCTTCTGACTTGGCTGGAGGGCGCGTCTGATGAGAGTGAATACATCAAGCCGTTGGAGGGTGCGGCTGCTGCGGCCGCGGCTGCGGCTTCCGCTGCTGCTCAGGCGCAGGCGTCGGCGAATATTGCTTCGGGGGCTGCTGGTGGAGTTTCTGCTGTGCCGAGTGGTGCTCCTGGGGGTGGTGCTGCTGCTGCGCAGACTCAGCAGGGTAGGGCGGCCAAGGTCATTGATCCTAGGTTGCAGGAGATTTATAACGGAGAGCGGAAGATGGGGGATCGGAATAGTGTGCTACGGGGAATCAAGCCGACGGTATGTTCATGCACAGGGGGAAGAGGCTCTACAGTATGCTAATAAGGGATCAACGTAGGACTTCTCTCACGTCCGCAAAACCGCCGAATCTATGCTTGGACGCAACCGCTCCCGGCCGGGACAATACCCTGCTGGCGTGAAAGCCGGCAGCAAGCCGCAATCCATGGTGGTGCCGTCTCCATCGGCCGGCCTGTCCCAGCCACGCAAGGCAAGCAAGACGCAAGACCCCATCATCCTCCTCTCACCCTCGGCCTCATCGCTCATCCGCATGTCCAACGTGCGCTCCTTCCTGCAGGATGGTGTCTTCATCCCTCCCGATCACCCTACTCTTTCCATGTCCAACTCCAATATCCTCTACATCTCCCGTCCGCTGCGCATGCACTCGGACCCGTCCAGCTCGTCTCTTCGTCCTGGCGGTGGCAGCTCCTCGCAAGTCACGTCCCGGAAACCTACACGCTTCATCCTCGTCGATAGCACGGCCAACTTCCGTCCGGATTACTGGCAGCGTCTGGTTGCCGTTTTCACGACGGGTCAGACCTGGCAGTTCAAGTCATACAAGTGGTCTTCGCCACCGGAGCTCTTCAAGCATGCCACAGGTGTCTATGTCGGATGGCGCGGAGAGGATATTCCTCGTGAAGTGAAGAGCTGGGGCAGGGGAGTGCAGAGCTACGCGGTCGAGCGCTGGGACGAGAAGGGAGGAGCCCACGGGGCGGGCCGGTGGCGTGATCGGGAAGTGGTCGAAGGAATCTGGACAGCGATCGAAGAGGGAATGAGACTGCGAGGCTGGGGATCAAAGTAGAAACTACCCACCGCGTGTGTGCGTGTGTGTGTCATGTTTCACTTTTCCCTCTCATCACTCTTCAACCCCAAAATTAGACCTACCGGTCCGTGCGAACAGGAGCAGCGATGAGGGATAATTCGAAACACGCTTCGTTTCAATCGTTCAAACACTCTATACTCTTTGCAGTTTGCCCTCCGTTGTCAAACTTTATGCCTTCGCGCCGAGCGGACCCCATTTATTGATTCCCACGGGATCCTGTATCAATACCACCAGCTTCCTCCTTATCTTACCCACCTCCTTACCTCTCTCGGCAAACCAGCCGGCTAAATAAAGCCGCAAGATTGACAGGAAAATAAGAAAGAATCCATTCCCCTGACACTGAAATGGACATGCCAGCCCCCAAAAAAATAAACTCCGATCTTGCTTGGCTCGGAAATTGCGCTCCCCGAATCCGGAGTTAACTCCGGGCATTGGAAACAAGCGAACTTAGTATCTATCTATCTACGGGGGTTGGGTTCCGTTGATCTTTACATCCTTGGACCGCTATCTCCAATATTTACATTTTCTTTCTATCTATTTACTGCATATGTCATGCTAGCTAGCTAGTTGTTTGTTACGTTCGGGTTTTTTCAAAAGGCGTATGTTATGTATGTATGTATTGGTGGCATTTCCTTTTTCTGATTCTGGCGTTGCGTTACTTACTTTTCCTGCCCCTTTTTTACTACATACTACTACTACTTAGTTATCTATGGTAACATACTTCGGTTATACATGGTGTATATTCCTACATAGAGGTACTTTCTAGGCTCTGCTGTCTTGTTTTTTTCTTTCTTCTATTTATATGCTATATTCCATAATGCTACTTAATGTCCTCAATACTTTTACTTTAATAGTTATTGATAAGAAACCGTACGTATGTCTAGTAAAAGTAATGAGCAGCTAACTAGTAGATACCTGCATGCATGCACATGCAATAGAAGATACCATAACCCGCAACTCTCAAAAATCAGATAATAAAATAAAAATAAATAAGTAAAGCCACACCAAAAGAATAAAAAGCACAAAAGATGTCAGCACCATACACACCATACATACATAACAAAAACACAGCCAAGCACTTTCAACGAATCACCTACCTAACCAGGCAAAATCCATACAGACACTACATACATATCACTACAATATGGCATAGATGAAAAACTGCGAATATATGATTTTTTGAAAAGTGTCAAAGCTACTTACTAGGTCATGTGGCCCAAGTAGTAGTAGTTGTTGTTGTTCACATCATCATCTCGTGTTTAACTTAAACCACGTGTCAGCCATGTGCGTGCGTGCGCAGTTAGTCCAGCCAGTTATGTTCTACCCTTTGTGTACTAGGGATGTATGTAAGCAATGGATGTATGGTAAGAATTGGGAACGGATTACTTTTAGTATACTACTAGTATCTTAGTCCTTAGTGCACTGGGTGGCTAAAGGATTGAGTGTCTGATCGATGAATACGAGATCTGGCAGTTGGGGTCGGGTTCGAATTGATTACCTGATTAGGTAGAATTAGTGCGGACAAGGGTTCATTGGATTTACTACAACTCCGTACTCTATGTCTAAATATGTATGTTATAGCTGTTGCCTAAAGTTTATGGAAGTAGATGCTTGTCTTGAATATTTATTTCTGTTCTTAGATTTCTCTGATCGTGAAGAGGACAACCCTCGCATATTCAATCAGGTAGATAGGTAAAAGGAAAAAGCCACACTCGCTGTACCCTGAAAATGCAAATCAAAATGCGCGTATCCATGCTCGATGCAGGGGACGTATGACAACATACACATCAACTCGGAACAAAGGAAATAACATATATAGGAAAAGGGAAATAAATCCGGAAGAAAGAGAGATATAGAAAAGGAGATCTTGAGAGAGGAAAATTCATGCGAATATGATGCAAACAAGAAAGGGACAAAGAACCGAGAACTAAAACGCCTCTCTAATGCTGGAATACTTCTCGTGTTTCAGCCTTTCTCCTCTTCAGTCTCCGTCCATGCGTCACAGTTCACAGATGTATAAAAGGAAATTAGGAAAAAAAGAAAAGAAAAAAGGAAACAGGGGGTGAAAAAGGAATCGGTGTATTAAAATGGTTCAGTTCCGGCATCTCTATCACATGATCCATAGATCGTAACGTCTGTCATTGGTCGTGCGGACTTGGAAGCCCCATGGAATGCCCTGTCGTCAATGGCAAGCGGCGTGGCGGGGACCAAGTGGCATTTGAAGAGAAAGAGATTATAGAAACGGAGGAGCGTTCGTATCGGAGACGCATAACGTGTATCATGTCGTGTCAGGAGGTTTGGGCGTGCTCCCAAACTTTTGGTGGGGAGGGCATGTTGGCTAGACCGGTGCCTTGTCGACATGGGGCAGGCAACTCAGATCAAGCCAAAAAAGAAAAATCATGTTCAAGTCGTTCCGTCAATTAACACCGCGCTGTGCAGTAAGAGTGTGTTTCATCTTGGATCGGCGAAGTCCGAGAGCAAGCCACGTGCCGTCAGATCTTTTAGTAATCACCAAGGTGAAGGCCTGTTCGGACAGGATTGGGATCCCTGCATGACACACATGCTGCCCCTATCATGACCGTGCTGAGCGGCTCGCCGAGCGCTCCGGGACTGGAGCGGGAGTGGGCGAGTAAGCCCGGGGGGCACCAATCAAGTCCACGTCATGCTCCTGAAGGATGCTGGCACACTTCGGATCACGCAGAAACTTGGGAACGGAGTCCTATTGCGGGTTAGCTTTCAATGCTGGAGACGGATTGCTACAAGATAAACGTACACTTGACATCAGCTTGAAGACCGAAGTCTGAGCCATCTCAAACAGATGCACCACTTCCTGCAGACTCTTGAGCATCGACTCATCGTCACCCACGGCCTTGGTCATACGGCTTGCCAGGCTGTTGCGCAGCGCGTGATCGATGTTAAGTTCGCAAGGGGATCCCGGTGCCAGGAACGCGTTGTAGAGACCTATTCAGGTTTGTTAGTTGCTAGTCAGAGAAGAATCATTGTCATTGAGAGCGCTTACCATATGCTGCAGCCAGTGTCTCACGGACAGCATCCGGCTTTCTAAACGTGCCCAGCTTCTCAGCCTTGTGATAGGCTGAAGTGAATTCTGACACATCGAGGTAGAACGACAGGTTCTCCTCGCAGAGGGAAAAGCGAAGGAACTCGCGGAACAGGAGTCGTAGGGCAGGGTCGTGGAGAATGTGGTTCAAACGGGCATTGTTGGAGTCCTTCGGGATGCCACGATTGTCGTACATGGTAGTTTCACGAGACTTGTCCCGTGCGATCCACCCACAAACTCGCTGACCCCGGTCCGTGATGCCGTAGATCGCATTCTTCGAAGGCTGGAACGCAACTATCGAGTCGTCTGGTTGGTTTATGAAGCGGTCTTCCTGCAGCATCGTGATCAAGCCGTACTTGACGAAAAGCTCGGCAATGAGAACGGTCTCACGGCGCTCAATGGTGGTGGAACAATCCATCAACCAATCAACCGCGGCTTTTCCAGTGAACGTGTTGATGACAATCTTGTCGTTAATCTTGCGCTCCTTCGCCATCTTCACACCAACCAAGCCATTCGAGTAATCACTAAGCGAATCCGAATCTGAGGTGGAAATGCTGCTCTTGACGTTAGGACCGTCCTGCCCCGCAAACCGGCGGAAGATGACTTCAATGGTCGCTCTATCGTGTGACAGCTTGTCTGTATCGGTATCGCGCTCCAGGTTGACCAATTGCATTGTGTTGCGGGGCGACTCCAGCACGTCAATCACATGACGAGCAGTGATACCGTTTCTCTGGCAGAACCTTTGCAAGATATTGATTCCCTTCGGCGTGAGCTGGTACAGCGCGCCCTTCAACGGAAATATTTGTGCCGATTTGCCATCCACGGCCTCGATGAAGCGGGCATCGACAAAACGCTGGCATACTGAACGAGCCATTTCCTTAGCCATGGAGAAGGTAGTGGTTGTTGTGGTTGTAACGATACGCGATGGGTCTTTAGGGTCGGGCATGCGGTTCGACTGAGAGAACTTAAGAGAGCCGAGATTGTTGATGGCTTCTTCCGAGGTGAAGGAGTGATCATATTTCGTAAAACGCACGCGATGCGAGTCCAGTTTCAAGCTGACCATCAACGTCGAGAACAAGTCCATAAAATCCTAAAAGACCACTTGTGTTAACAGACCACCCTTGATCATAATCCCAAACTTCTTATTTTTCATCACGCCCTGTCGGCCACTTTAGCGCACAATTGGGTCACCTTACCTTTGTGAATGGACGGTCATCCTCCGTCATACGCAGTAACCGCGAGGACGTTTGATGCATCTTGGCGGGAGATACGGTAGGTCCGACTTCGGGTAGTTGCTCGAGTGGGGACGGGGCACGCTGAAGGGTGTAACGGCGCCTCTCAACAGAACTGGTCTGTTGCTCAACCACGGCCGGGGACGAACGGCTAGTAGCGGCGTCGAAGGGCGCAGGACTGGACCGTTCACTACTGGCGCTACCGTCCGACAATGGCGGAGTTAACGGCGTGGCACCTGGCGCTTCGCTGACGCTGACCTGTGAGGCCTTGCGCGAGTGTTTCGACAAGCTTCCCGATGAGGCGGAGGAGCGGAGGGGGTAATTCGGCGCTCCTATGGAGGAGAGGTTCGCGAGGGCGTTGGAAGTCTTCTCACGAGCTAACGCAGCGAACGAACGGCGATTGCGACGTGAGATAGATCCAATAACTGAACCTGTGAATCCGGTCGAGTTGTTGGTGGCGGTGGTGGTGGTAGTAGTAGTGGCGGGTTGAGAGGGGGCGACAACAGCGGAGGGTGCGGAGTTGTGCTGTAAGGAGGGAGCGGAAGCAGTACGAGGGCGAGTTTCAACCGGGGAGGTAGAGACCGGGATAGGATCAACAGACGGGGGAGATTGAGAGTAAAGTAGGTGAGAGGGAGGAGGAGAGTCTTGGTCAAGATGAGCGGAGGATATGGTTGGCATTGAATAGTGCGAACCAAGACGGAGTGGGAGGAAAGAGAAGAGGGGGGGCTTTGTATGTATGTATGGGTATGGGTATGGGTATGGGCAGAAAAAAAAATGGGTAAAAAAAAAATATTTCCAAAAGGGAGAAAGAGGGTCAAGGGAAAAAAAAAAAAAAAAAGAAAAGAAAAAAAAAAAAAAAGGTGGAGGGGTGGGTGTATGTATGGATAAGGGAAAGCAGAGAAGGGAAAATAAAATAATAATGAAATAAAACACGAGGTAAAATTCCACTTTGAGTGAAGGAAAGTCTTGACCCAAAATTCAAAGTCGGTTTGGAAACAGACCCAGGAAAGATTGGGAAAGGGCAACGGCAGAAAATGGGAAGAAAAAAAAATTCAGGGAAAAAAAAATTGTAAGAAAATGGAAAATGGAATAAATTCAAACTCAATGACGAAAAGAGCAAGCGGGGAATTTGGGTAGAGTGTTAGTCAGGTATTTATACAAACAGTAAGTGACTTAACAAACTGTTTTACTTCCCAGAAGTTGGAGTACGATCTGAAGTGGCTTTTTGGTACAGGGTGGATGCTACCGGATGGATCCCTTACAGCGAGCGAGCGAGCGAGCGAGAGAGAGCGAGAGATAGAGAGAGAGGAGCAGAGGTAGCGGAAAGAATGAGAAGGGAAGGGAAGGGAAAAGAGGGAAAAGATGAGCAGAAAGCCAAGTGAGCAGCGGCTGCTCAAGAGGGTCTCCAGGGGCGTGAAGAATCAGGCCTGTCATTCTTGACCCACTGTGCACGCGGACGGTTTCATGCACCAGACAACGTGGGCCAAGGGCAAAGGTGGACGGATCGTCCTTTGGGGCGATCAGAGGTCGGCTTCCCTGCAGAGTCCGGCAGGGTGGGATGGGTGGGATAGGATGGGATGGTACGGGTATTGCCCTCCGGAAAGGCTACCTTGGGTAAGGTAAGGTTCCTACAGGCGACCGCCCGAACCTGCAGGCCTTTTCTTAGCCATGCTTCCCTTCTCGTTGATTACTTTCTTTTTGTCCTTTAAGCGGGATGGGGGCCCTTCTCCGCGTCTGACATTAAGAAAGGGGCCATATATAATATGTAGAATTGAGTTATGAGTTAATTCTCCCTCTTCCTGCCAGAATTTATCCCTTCCCTGTCATGGTTTGATGCAAGGAGATCCCCGAACGGTGAAGGTAACTTAACCAGGGCCATCTTACTTTCCCGGTCCGTATCCCTGTGTATGGTAACCTGTGTCACATACCGTATCGTTCTCAGAGATACATTGCTTGCTCCGTCTCAACCACCTCCAAAGTGGGCCGGTTTCCAAAACCGCTGGCGTCGGATGATCAGCGAAATCTACGCCTGGGGAGGGTTTCAATCAGATCGCGCTGTGTTCGCTGTATAATGAATGTTCCCCATCAGACACGCAGCAACAGATTGACTGGTGGATATTATTCCCGAAAGATATGGAAGAAGAGGACTGAGCGGTAAGTCATATAGGTATGGACTATAGAGAGCTATCATAAGAATTCTGGAGCGAGCAAACAAGCAAGTGACATTAATTATCAGCATCGACCGACTAAGTAGTAAGTAGTGATTGCTGCACAGCAATTGAAGTGATGCGACATTATTGGTTTATCTGCCTGAGACCATTAGTAATGTGCATCTCAGAAGTTCCTACCGTATCTCTTATCATATGACGAGGAGATTTAGTTCTGGTAAGCCCCGGGCAAGTAGTACTCAAGCATCATATCCCGAGCCTAAGCTGACAGGTTGTGTACCTGGTCTATACATACTACATACATCAGGGCAAGCACGTTTGTTCCTTCCAGTCAAACGGAACAGGGGCAGATGCGAGCAGGCAAAGAAAAAAAAACGTGGCCGACACGCTTTTGCTCGGTCTGTACACCCAAAGGTACCTCCAGCCAGACCAAACAACAGCCAGCAGCGCCAAGCCCGTCACGTTACCAAGCACCTTCCTTCTTCAGCAAGCAGGCCTCCATACTGGAGAGACTGCGGCGGCCTTCAAGCAGTAACGATCATCCTTGAGTCATGACCGGAAAATCCCCAAGGCACTGCAACCAGTCACAGCGTCTCGTAACGAACACTTGCAGCCAGGCTCTTGCCAAATCGGGAGTAGCTTGCCACTAGTACCAGACTCAAGTTGCTCGCCATTACGCTGGCGAACACCGACTTTCAACCTTTTCCCCACCCCCAACTCAGCCCGAACGACCCATCACCTCATCATCGGCCTCTGGGTTTTGGGCCCTGGATGTATTGGGTGCTTGCGTTTCGGGCTTTGCTGTTTAGGCTTCACCCAGCGTGCTATCCCCGTCAATGATTGATACTTTTACTCCCCATTTGAACTCTCTTCTCCTTCTTCCTCTTCCCCCCTACACGGGCGATCATAGCCACCAATCATTGCCTATCTATGGCATAGTACGGACTGGTTGGCAGCCACACAAGCCCCTCTTATCTTTTTTCTCCTCTGTGTAAACCTTCCTTTCGCCCACGTGGGTTATCCCGCCCGAGCAAAACCTTGTTGGGTTCTGATTCGAACCAAGCGAACCAAGCAATTCCCTGATGCAGATCAATATTTACTTGATGTCTGGATTCGTGGCCTCAGGCCCCCTGTCTTCTTAGGGCCTTTGGGGGAGGGAGAGAAAGCCACGCGAACGATACATCAATCCCCGTTCCCTAGTCTATAGTTGGAGGAGTCAACTTCGCCGGGGAGACAAACGAAACTATTTACAATGCTGCATATGATGAAAGTCTAACGATCAGTCCTGCTTCGGTCGGACCAGGCAGCCAGCCATCCAGACTGCCAGTAGCAGCGAAACCCCTGCCAGATCATTTCTCAATAATGTGATCAAGCCGATCAAGTTTCAGAATATGTCTACAAAGTACCCTGTCTACGTAGCATTCCAAAAAAGAAAAGGATTAGAGGACCCAGATGGATAGACGCGGTGGAGCAGAACAAACCAGATGGCTTCCCGCGTGGCTGAGTTGTGATGGCTCTCGTATTTTATTATTTACTTCGCGTGGATGAAAACAAACAGCTGCCGAGGACTCTTTCGTTCGCCTTCTTTTACTTCTTGGATGCGTCTCCCGCTCTTCCACGACTCTTCCAAGTGCATTCTTTCCTGCCTTCTGTCCTAACCGAGACCCATGCGGTTCCACGTGGACACACGTGGAGAAAAGCTGGCGGCTGGTTTGGGTTGCTCGGGCGGCTTGGCTGTCGGCCGTTTTGGCCTCGCCTGCCGGTGTGTCTCGCAACTCACATTCCAGAGGGTGACTGTATCCTCTTCCTCGGGGTCCAAGCCCAATCATCCTCATTTCTTGGACCTGACCGACCCGTCCTGGGCCAAATCATGGCACTCTTGGTTTGTTTATTTCGTGTTTTTTTGTTTTTGCATCAACCACGCTGCCAATCGCATGGCTAACTGACAAGCTATTGCTCACAGCAATTCTCCATATCCTACTAGTATTGTCGCATCACGTCATAAACCCTGAGATTCATGTCTGAAATAGGTAGTAGGTGACTCCGTAAATGTAGTACCGCTATGACATACATGGAGGATCTGCTGGGGCCTATTCTCCAAACCTACTATTAGTTCAGTTTTCTCCAGCCCATCTCCAGATCTCTCTCATTGTTGGGACGCCAACAAGGTTTACAAGTGCAGTCCAATTCCTGATTCTCCCTAAAAGAGCCACTAGGGAATTTAGACCGGGATTACCAATGTGCACTGCGGCTACACTGACCACCACCACCACAAGCCCCAATTCAAAATGGGGGCAGCGTCTGAATACGACTATACAGTAGTAAGCCATCATCATATACCCAGAGCAGGCTGTCAGTGCGCTTGTCACGACCATTGGCAGTCCGCCACAAAGTTAAAAGGGCTCCCCCATCAAGCTAGAAGAAACAAAGGAAATGAAGGACAAGGGAGTCAGAAAGAGACGATCCTGCCAACACACAGTTCGATCCTCCTGATCCTTTTCTAATCCTGAGGCTCATCCTAAACCCCCGGACGTAAAAGGTCTGATCGCAGCAGGATTGCGTCTGACGTGCGCCCCAGCCGGCTAGCTACAGCAGCGTAACTCGAAGGACCATCATTCAACTGAAATGCTCACGAAATCTTCCGGGCCCAACGTTAGTAATACCTAACTTCAACCCAGGGCCATCGGGCTAGCGGTCAGTTAGTCGACCGTACCAATCATAATGACCTACCTGCCATGGCGGCTACGTAACCTTTCTTTCGTCTGATGAAGGATTCACGATCAGATCCCCCCCTGGGGCAGTAGGCAAGGCAATCTATCTCTGTGTATATTCCAGTACCCACTCTTGGAATTGTTCTGGTGGCTATTGCCTATCAAGCTATCAGCAGCAGCAGCAGCAAGTGTGTCTCCACCAGAGCAATTGGGGCAACACGAAGCGGTGAGCCATGAGAAGGAGGGGCTGCAATGGCGCAATTCCTCCGTTTCGGAGCTATCCACACTTTTTTTCTTTCTTTTTTTCTTCTTTTGCGCCCGTCCTGGAGCCGTGACCGGACTGGCGGTAAAGAGTCTCAGTCATAGACACAAAGTGAAACCCCGTCTGTCACTGTCATGCGGTCACGTAATCAGTAATGAAGGTTAGCTACCGGCGGTCAGACACTTGTGCCGTGCCCAGACAAGAGGGATTGTAGCGATTTGATCATTCGGCTTCGGCTTCATGTGAATCGAGATATAATTATCTACTACTTACTACAGGGTCATGACAAAATCCGCGTCAGCTTTTCGATAGTAACAGCAAGCCATGAAAATAGAACAGAGGGGGCCGGACCGCCAAATCGGGAAGCCTCCATACATATCAGTAGATAGATAGCTTCAAATCCTGCTGCATGACAGCATACAGTATGTACGGGGTCTTCTAGGGCCTTTCTCGCCCTATCACCCAGGAGACAAACCGATCCAATCCACTTGCCCTCAACAATAACAACAGTACTACTTAGCAACAGCGCTACTAGCCGCGACATGCGAAACTCACTATCCAGTTCACGCAGATGGATGATCCCTGTCAGCCGCGTTACTCCTCGCGTGGCGGTCAGGGATCATCCCGTCGGAACGCAAGACAAGGCTGCGTCTAGACTACTGTTGGTGTCCTCTCCTGGCGATATTCTTAGTGGCATTACTGCCTACAAAGAAAAGTACCAACTTAGCACCTAGATTTGTTAATGTTGTAGCCTCTTGCGCGGCGCCAATCGTACTATCTACCACGCCATCCATCCTTGGCTTCCCGTCCATGCGTCCTTTTGCTATAGTCGACCGACATTAATGAGGCGAAAAATATAAACGGAGTCAGTCGCATTCGGTATGTGGCTTGCGACCGAGTCAGACATTCCTAGGGGCTAGAACCTCAGCTATCTGTGCGCCTCCTTAGCCACAGATCAACTTTGTTATTCATTCCTTATCACATATACTTTTTTGATTTCTTTCATGGCGTCGTTATGGACCTGTCTAGGTCAGGGTGTGTGTCTATCATCATTTCAAGTATGATCCAGGGGGCGGTGGGTGAATAACAATCATCCGTGCTATTCGAAATTAACTTTGGATAATCCTATCCGTCTCTAACCTTGCCATGTAGTCTATCTACTTAGATGGGGATAGTCAGCTGTATCCTCAATCGGTCCAGCCAGGCAAACAATCAGGCAACCTACCTAAGCCGGCTGGCTGGATTTAGAAATTTTATCTCCTGCTGGCACTTCTTCAGCAATCTGCCACAAAACCTTGGCGCGATAATGACATGACAGCTGAAACATGGCAGTCGATATTCGTATATCTCTCCATGGTCAAGACGTCCATCCAAGTATACTTTGAGTAGGTAACCACGCAAGAGCCTATATGCAATATACCCCGATAATAACCGAGTCTACATACGGCAGTTGGACGATCAACCTACCTGCCTAGCTCGCGCTCCAGGCTTCATTCTACTCACTCTATCTATCAACAGCCACCCACTGCTCAGACAAATACGAGCAACGCCTCCATCATTTCCATGTCAACTGATTCGCCACTAGATCTATTCAGCCTAAATCATCCATAGTACCAGGCTTGTGCTCAGTCCGCTATTCTTCTTGATCCATCTTCGTTTGTTCTACTGCAGAATGGATAGCAGCTAACAAACTACGGAGTATAGTTAGTTAATATGGATCTATCTAACCGTAGCTAGTACGTAAACTCTGCAGCACCTACCCTCCTACCTAATAGAGTGACCTGCAGACTAGTGGAGCGATAGCTATCTTTAATATAGGTGGGAGTTATATACTCCGTAGCTATCACTACTATATACAGTATGTTAATAGACAAATATGTTGCTACTTTATCTGCCCCATCACTTACTTCCCTTCTATACTTACTCCAATTGACCGGAGAACAAGATATCCGGTCTACTATCCGGTCTATGGATCTACAATTACATAACAAATAAATTCTTTTTTTCTCCTCTTTCAAACACTTACTAAAACATAACATAAGTAACAAAATACATCCTTCATTCAATTCCATCAGTACTATCAGTACCATCAGCCACCAAACCCATCCATACGAATAGAAGAAATCCAGAATGTGACTCATACGTCATATCACAAACCCAATCCCGAACTTCATACCCATACCTCGGCTGAAACTTGCACTATTCTATTCACATCCTGAAATCACCCGAACCAAGGTACGACCCCCAACCCTGATCCATAGAAATACCAATCTGGAAAAAGATGGAAATTGTATGAAATACCGAAACGAACAGATACCCGGAAACAGAAATGGAAAGAAAAGCGGTCAGAGAGTTCACGCGGTTCCAGCGCAGTGGAGTATGTAAAGTCTTGGCAGCGGGTTGAGAGGACAAAATAGGTGGGGATGCTGTTACTGTACAGTATTTATTTCAGTGATTCAACTGATTTGTGTATTGTGTACGTTTCGGATTTCCAACTTGGAGATGATGATGGAACGGATGGAACACGAACGGAGAAACAGCTCTTTTTATCTGCTGGTGGATACTTTTTTACTCACGTAGGTATCCATTCCACATGGAAGAAAAGAGGAAATGGTACACGGTCTGTTATGGAGAATTCTCGGGCGCGGGTATGCGCCACGTGGGTTTTGCGGTGATACACATACATAATTCCAGACCTTTTTTTTCTTTTCTTTTATTCCCCCTTCCACTATTTACGAGCGGAGAGGTCATATGACGAATATTTTAGTTACAGTAGGTATGGGTATGGAAGGGCGCATGTGTCGTCATTATGGGGCATGGAAAATTTTTCCCTCATATGCGGTTTTGTTACTATTTTCTTGGTGGGTTTTCGGGTTGGTAGGTTAGGGTTGATGTCTGTCTGTCTGTCTATCTACTTACACAATCTATCTAATATCTGTCTGCCTATTTGTCCGTTAATAGTCGCTATCTAGTGTGTGTTTGTGCGCCGCTTAGGGAACTGCGTTAACTGCTTAGTGTTAAGTTCAACTTAGTATCTGGGCAATATGTAGGGGGCGGGATATTCCGCTGCGGCGGGTTTTAAAGTTCGCACTTAGAGTTTGCTTGATATGAGCATGTCTTAATTCTACGGAGTATCTAGTACGTAGTAGTTTAGCTTGGACACTTTGATGAACTGTATTTTGATGGCTGGAAGCCCCTGGAATCCAACGTGCTTCTATGGCTTGGTTGTGGCTGAAGTTGGAAATAGAAGCAATTGGCGATACGCCCCTGAACCAACATCAAGGTACTTCTTATGTTGGAAGTTCATTGGATCACGGAACTGTCGGCTCAGAAAGTCCTGTTTCAGGTGCCCTGAGCTGAAGCGTGGTTGGGAAGGCATTCGTTCGGTTCCCGGCATTTGCCATTCCGTATAATCCTTCCTCCAGGCAAAAGGGGGTGGTGAGATGAACTATTTTGGGGGTCTTATTTATCTGGGGCAATGGAATGGGATAGGATGTGAATCCTGTCGGGCATGGGGGAGACACTCGCTACAGTGTACTACTGTTAGTATAGCGTGCGCCAGATATCTGGAACGCAAGTAAGCGCTTGGAATTTCTAGAAGGAAGTTGTTGGAAGGGCTAAAATCCAGCAGGATTGCATGTCTAATCCAACTTACCATCACGGCGGAGATATTCACTTACGTAGCATGTACGCACTGTTCCTGCATCGTGCAGTAGTCCGGCGGCGAAAGAAGCCCAGCTGAAGCTTCTAGAGCGGCTACTAGTTTTGCTAGCTAGAACTACTCTGTATACTACAGTTTTACCAGGATCGGAAGACGCCGATACCCATTCCTTCCATCAAGCTTTTTGATTGTATTCCTCAATCGCAAGCGTATTACCTACCAGAGTAATTGAGATGCTCGCCCCTACGTCGCAATTTTCGATCGGCTGGGGATCTACAAGTCCGCAAAAACTCAAAGACCCATCCGTCAACAACGTGTTCCTTCCCAAGCAAGTATATCCTCCTGGGACGGGAAGCGTGGGTGGTTCGCCAGCCAGTCCAATTTTTCCGACAGTTGGTCCTCCTCCGATCTGCCGATCAATGGAAACCGTAGAAGGAATGAGATCACAAGAAAATCATACGGTGTTCCCCGTTGGAGAACAAGAAACTAGTGAGGCTGTATCCACGGTTGAGTTAATTGAGTTAATCTACTCCTGGGGCGCTATTGCTTGGTGGTTCTGTTTCGGGGCCTGTGGGACGCCGATGGATGCGCTAGAAGGATTCTGGAAGACTTCTGGAAAACGCTAGAAGGCGTAGGTCGGTTGGGGGCTGGTCACCCCCACTCCCTTTGCCATGTGTAAGACTTTTTTTCTTGTCCTTTTATTTTTAATTTTTTATTTTTTTTTTTCCCTTCTCCTTTTTTCTCTTGTCTGAATTGTTGGGTGAGACTAGGGATTCGTACCTATCTGAGGTAATTTAGCGATGGATCACATGGTGTACACCGGGCTTTTGCGGCGTTTGTCTTAGGAGGCCTGGTTGATTCACCGTATTTGTATGATGAGTCCACCGGCCCCCGGATATGATGGGGGTGACGGGCCAAGGATATACGGGAATACGGATTGAGTAAGCTGCGCTGGGTGGGCGGTCGGACTCAAGGTTTACCGCTTAAGTGAGGAAGGGGCCGGAGATAAGTTAAACCGCATACATGTCACTTTTGTCTAGTTTCGTCTTGTCTTGCATGTTCCCAATTTGTCTTCAGGCTATCTTACTAAACTCTTCCAAGCAGGGTCCCGGAGAAATTGTCCGACTCCGGCGTTCAACTGCTGAAGGGCGTGAATTGGGGGGTCCTTTGCCGCGGCCGATATCGTCGCGCGAAGTGCGCTTAGTCAGAAGCAAAACTCTCCGAGGGTCAACTGGCTCTGAGTCGGTCAGTTCCAGGAGACGAGACGCACGTGGAGGATCTTCCGGGAGGCGGCCAATCGAACCTTGAGCGTTACATTGCGTATGGGAGGGAAACGGTATGGACTAGTCTCGTACAGACGGTTACTTACCGCCTAAAGCAGCCAGGCCACTTACCGAAAACTGGAAATAGGGCGAGAAAAAGGCCCCAAAAGGGTGTCGGAGTCGGAGGCGGAAAGAGCCGGAGTCGGAGCCGGAGCGGGGGGCCCTGCTTCAGGCCAACTTCAGGCCAGCTTCCTTCGGGCCAACCTAATGTGCTGCTACTGCTGTCAGCCTACGATGTGATAGGCTGGCTTCTCGTTCTATCTCATCCTGTTGCTGCTGCTGCTGCTTCTCATCACCATGGCCATCATCTTTATCGCTCATGGTGTCTCCATTCCCATGCAGGACTACTGCCACTGCTTCTTCTGAAGAAACGAAACTTGTCTGACTGGAAAATTGGTACTCTATACATACCCCTGCCTGTCTTGCCTCAAAAGCAGTTTGGCCCACTACCGGCATATACTGAATATGTACTATGTCTTCTACCTTGGCCTCATCCACGCCTTTCTTTCTACCGCTGCAGAAGCAAGGGGTCACCAGCATGCATGATAACTACACTGGTTCCTATTTGATACTTCATTGTGGCAGACGCTGATCCTTGCTCTCCACGCGAAAATTAAACCCCAAGGCTTTGTCCTTGTCATGGCCCCACCTGACCAGCTTCCAGGGGGGTTTTCCCTTCAGGCTGCTCCCATGGGCAGGCAAATCTTGAATTATGATGCTGATTGCTGACTGGGTGATATGGGGGAAGGTAGCCTGTTGTTCCCTTTTCCACCATCCCGCAATCGGGTCTATCATGCTGTGCAACCTGATCGAAAATGGCTCAGATCACCGTCCATCTGCTCACGGTGCCATGCGAAGGGCCAGCCGGTTTCCCACACGCACACACGCGAGAGAGAGGGAGAGACCCGGTATGCCCCGGATGCTGACTGGGTGCCGCGCGATGATGGAACCGGCGCGACAGGGATCTGGACGGTTGATTGCATCGTCGGTGCATGGACCAATGATGCCCATCCCCGACCATTGGACAAAACTCCAGCCGACGAAGTACGAGGCTGGGCCGTTAGGTCAACCCTGAAAACTGGTGTGTCTCCTTTCTACGGAGTCTACGGAATAGCTTGCTAGGATAACTACATGTGTATCTGTTTAGCGACTGGAGGTCGCTGTTCGGTCCCCTTAGTGTCCGGTTAGCCCAAGCGTGGCTTGGCTTGGACCGGATCATCATCAGCAACAGCAGCAACATACTTTGGGGCGCGGAATATCCCGTCCAGATTACGGAAGCCCATCAGTGACATCTTTCCGGGGGCGCCTTACATTAATCTATCTTCTGCCCAAAACAAATGATTAATCCCCAGACGAACACCTTACGACCGGCAAAAGCAGGCAGCCTCTCTTCCCGGCTAACCCCGCCGCCAATTCCACTTTGGTCCTGCGCCAGCTCAAGACGGTCATTTCATGCATTAGTGTGCAAGAGACGTGGCCCCGATTCGTCTTAGTTTCCTAGTCAACAGGCGATGGAGATGAGCCAGGATCGCACCAGGATTCGGTTCAGAGCCACGCAGTTGCATCGCCCATGCGTGTACATAATCAGTAACGGTGCATTTTCGCCCCCATTATTTAGTCTATAGCATGGTTATATCACAGTCATTTATGCGTGGGCATATACCAGCTATCTGATATGAATGGGGGGTGCAAGTGCGGAGTATCGGCCCAGTCGCTCCCTCCATAAGGATTACTGTGTCCCATTCTCACCACTCAGACTCAGAGTGACCAAAGGAACCTAATCTCAACCGAGGATTGCCTCTGTGACGCTGATCGACCAGACTACCACCCATTATTGGCCGGGGTTCCGTTCGAACTAGTCCGGCAGCCTCCCTTGCTCACGGCCTGGCGTGGCTAGGGTTGCACAAGGCTGGTCGAGACCATCGGGGAGGGATGATGGCTCAATTCAGCCCAGGCTGTTGGCCAATCTTTGGTCATCCGCGGAGCACTGCATGGGCGATGGTGCGTGTATCCCTCCCCTCGGCGTTTCCATGTACCTTGCCTGCCATGAGGAGACGGTGCAGCAGCAGCAGCAGCAGCAGCATCATTCCGGGCGCGGGCTGGTTACCCTGCTTCGCCATGAGGTGGTACTAGGCACTTTGAGCTAAGGCAGCTCTGCCGATTCCCCTCTTTTATCTCTGCCACACGGCCTTCAGCCCCGTCTGACACCATCACGACAATTATCACAGTTAACCAACCGTCATCGCGATCTCACCTACACAGACCACCACCACTCACATACACATCATCTCCATTCCGTCCAAGTACCTCTATTCCCCCCACAGTTGACCCTAGCAGTAGGTACATACCTAGACAGCGACTAGGTATGCAGTGGTAGGTCCAGAGCAACACTCAGCCCCATTTCATATGTGCATCCTTGGTTTCGTCACCACTTAAGTTGGTCAACCTAAGTATGACCCCTGTAGACTACTATCTATCACATCGCAACCCCTCCCAACGGTACCACCCAACCCACCGCATCAGTTAGTTTGCCTCTTTAGCACGAATCACATCTCCCATCACCGTTCAGACTGCAGAGTAAACACTAGTCATTCCGCCTCTTAGCAAGGTCAAGAATGTCAGGCACATTCACCCATCCATCCACCCAGCATATCCCGTCATCCACCTGCTGTACAAGGTCGATCACTTTTCTTGTCCATCCACGCGACCGATCACCCTGCAAATCAAAAA